TATATGTCGAGAAGTGGATCAATGATCGATCAAGATCGATAGAGGAACCAATTAAAGCTATATTGGTTTACGTCAAAATATGCGTCGAAAAATGGCTCAATGATCGACCAAGATCGATAGAGGAAGCAATTAAAGCTATATTGGCTTACGTCAAAATTTACGCCGAAAAATGGACCAATGATCGACCAGGATCGATGGAGGAAACAATTAAAGCTATATTGGGTTACATCGAAATGTACGTCGAAAAATGGACTAATGATCGATCAGGATCAATAAAGCAAATAATCAAAGATATGTTGGTTTACATCGAAATATATGTCGAAAAATGGATCAGTGATCGATCAGGATCGATAAGGGAAACAATCAAAGATATATTGGCTTATATCGAAATATACATCGAAAAATGGACCGATGATAGATCAGGATTCATAAAACAAACAATGGAAGCTATATTGCCTTACGTCGAAGCACACATCGAAAAATGGACCAATGATCGATTAGGATCGATAAAGCATACAATTAAAGCTATGCTGGCTTACATCGAAATATACGTCGAAAAATGGATCAGTGATCGATCAGGATTAATAAAGCAAACAATCAAAGATATATTGGCTTACATCGAAATATACGTCGAAAAATGGATCAATGATCGATCAGGATTCATAAAGCAAACAATTAAAGTCATATTGGCTTACAAGTGATATTTCAAACTATTTTCAATCAGTTGAAAACGGTGAACTACGTTATTTTAAACAAACGTATGTTTATTCGGCAGCTTTCTCATCCATTATGTTAAATTAGTAAATATTCCGGGAATTTTTCATCACCAACATCATCAATTATTTATCGAAATAACTTAGTTTATATCTGGCTGTATCCTAATTTTTTTTTTTAACTTTTAATTGTCTTTCTTCTGTCGTATCATTTCAGTATGCTGAAAGCAATAAACTAGTAGCATGTCTTGCACTTGGTGTTATATAATCCATCCAGTTTTGACCCCAATAAATTCGTTGATATCGTCGATCTTCCTCTCCAATGAAATTTGAGGGATAAAATAGTGCACCTGTACCAAAGACACCATTCAACCGACCTGAAAAAGGATACGTGAATACATTTTCAAGAAGTGCTTTTCAAATTTGTACAAGTTTAACTAAATCTAAAATTAACTAAATTAAAATTTTTTTGTCTCTTAAACTTTTCAAATTTTAAATTATTTAATTTTGCGAGATGCAACAGCTAAATATTCAACAAACCCTGCCAATATAAATTGTAATTATCTATTCTGGATGTTGATGTCGGGAATTCGTGAAGCTTCCGGTAAAGCGATTTCTGTTTAAGATCAGATGCAACCTGTAATGTCTAAAGTATTAGAATCTTTTGCTGAATAATATTTACAAAAGTCGTTTACTATGATGATATGCTTGGACCAACCTTCACAATTTCGGGCAAGGATCGAAACAGTAAGGTTCGAGCTTTTGTTGGTAGTATAGCGTGAATGACACATCTAAGTGTAGGCGACAGTGACAGATTCAACCTTTGCTGTTTTGCTGTTGTTAAAACTAACTGTAGGCGACAGTGACAGATTCAACCTTTGCTGTTTGCTGTTGTCCGACTAACTGTAGGCGACAGTGACAGATTCAACCTTTGCTGTTTCGCTGTT